TCCGCCCCTGGTATGTCCCCATAGATAGTCTAGCAGATAGTCATTAAAAAGCTTCCAATAGATCAAAGATACAAGGGTTTATGTTGTTTTTTTTTTATTCCAAAGTAAAAACTAAACGATTTATCAGAACATGTAGGTGGAACATTCTCTTCAGACATTATCACGGTTTTTCAATTCATGACATCGTCCTGAACATGCATGAAATATTTGCCACTGGACATTAAGCAACCAATAATCAAGCAATCAATCAATTCATGACGAAATAGATTAAGTTGCCTTAATTTCCCTTCACAAGGTTTCATAGTACACACTTAATACACAAGTAATTGCATGGATGATAAATTATCACAATTTTAAGATGGCGTTGTACTCTAATCAAGGTATAAAAAACCATACTTGTTACTCTTTATTTAAATGAAAGAAACTTACAATCGTCAAAAACATTTTTTAGATCCAAAGATTTTAATAGCAGGATATTTAAAAATCAATGTGAAAACTGATTACAAACTATCTAAGTCCAGGTTAGTCTATGGAAAGGTATATACTATGAAATTTAGAGCGAGGGGCTTGCCCCGAGCTCTAAATTTCATAGTATATACCTTTTCATAGACTATCCAATTTAGCACATATTTACAACTCGAGTAATCTTTTAATTGGTCTATAATTGATAGTTTATTTTGGCTGACTACTTGTATTACAGGTGTATGTAAAACGGAGCTCATTATCGAATTTTATGTTTTGTAAATCTACTCACTAGTATCATTGTAAAATATGTGATTTCAAAAGGCCCTAGTGACTCCAGAATGAAAAGATGATAGCTGCTGGTGTAAGTATGTATATTGATATAAAGCGGTGTTTTACTATACATGTACATGTTTTGAAAACACTTTTCAATTTCACAGAAAAACTAAAGTTATAATAAATTAAGATTATTTGAAACATATAGATAGTTTGTCCTCATAGATAGTCTAGCCGATAGCATTAAACAGAAACTACCAATAGACCAGAGATTATAGGTTTTGTGTTTTTTATGTTTTTTATTTTCAAAGTAAAAACTAAAAGATTAATCAGAATATGTATATATATATATATATATATATATATATATATAGGTGGCACATTCTCTTCAGACATTATCACGGTTTTTCAATTCAAGACATGCATGAAATATTTGCCACTGGACATTAAGCAACCAGTAATCAATCAATCAATTCATGACGAAATAGATCAAGTTCCCCAAGAAAGTTAATAAAATCACCAAATTTCCTTAATTTCCCTTCACAATAATTCATAGTACAAACTTTTTTTTGTGTACAAAGTAGTTGCATTGATGATAAATATTTATAATTTTAAGATAGCCCTGTACTCTAATCAAGGTATAAAGAACCATATTTGTTACTCTTTATTTAAATGAAAAAAACTTGCAATTGTCAAAAACATTTTTTAAATCCAAAGATTTTAATAGCAGGATATGTAAAAATCAACGTGAAAACTAATTACAAACTATTTAATTTAATTTGGAACATTTTATTTCAAAATAGCCAGAGGCAATTTTTGTTTTCATATCTTGATTACGATACAATGAAATCTTACCCTTGTGGTCATTCATGCGTAGTTACTTAGTACACGGAAAAAGTATGTACTATGAAAATTAGAAGGTAAATTCAAGCAATATGATTGGACGAGAAGTTATAAGTATGTGCTAATTTAATTTGGAACACAGCATTTTATTTCAAAATAGCCAGTGGCAATTTTTGTTTTATTATCTTGATTACGATACAATGAAATCTTACTCTTGTGGTCATTCATGCGTAGTTACTTAGTACACGGAAAAAGTATGTACTATGAAAATTGAAAGTCAAATTCAAGTAAATTGATTGGACGAGAAGTTGTAAGTATGTGCTAAAAACATTTAGAACATACTCACCCATTCTCGTCCAAAGGAAAATCAGTATTTTCCCTTCTATTTTTCATAGTACATGGCTTTCCATGCACTATAAAAATTAATGCTATACATGAATGACTTTTTATTGTAGATTAATCATGAAAGTGAACTCTTTAAAACTGCTCTAACGAGGTGTACAATCCCCCAAGGCAATTTCCAAAGGAAAAGAGAAAAAAAATCATGAGAACTGTTATTTGTCTAATTATTATAAATGAAATCAGGAGAATAGAACTATAAAAACATTTTAAGTTGAGATATTAACATTGTAAATGTTATTTAATTGTGTGTATATAGACCCCCCCCCCCCTCCCCCCCCCCCCCCCCAAAAAAAATAGAAATGAAAAGGGGGCAAAGGTGTGGGTAAAATACATGTAGTATTTCATCTAATTTAATTTAAACGAGACCTTAAAATCAATGTTTTAAGAATCAATGGCTGTTGATAAAAAAGAAAGTTTTTTTTAAAAAAACTCAACATATTTATCAATAAAAAAAATAAGCACCTGATGTTGAAACGATTGGTAATCAAAATTGATTGATGAAGTTTTTTCAGTATAAAAAATTATACAATTTAAGAAAAGAATAATTATATAACATTGTGTGCTTTTGAAATGAAGGAATTCTAAATATATAAGATTTAACTGTACCTGAAGCAGAAGACATCTCCATTTTTGAATAATTTATCCTTTTTTGTTATCACAAAACTATCTCATTGCTCTTTCATTCCAATAATTGAAATGACCATTTAAATTATTTACATCCCTTTTACTAACCATGTTAACATTTAAAGTGAGCTAATATCAAAATTTAATTATTACAATGAAAGGCTAATTTTGTTATGTCACTCGAAGGTGTGAATATGTTCTGTAATATAGATACAATGAATAAGCGTTGATTCTTGAAAAAGAAACCATGAGCCCGGAGGGCGAATGGTTTGTTTTTCATGAATCAATGCTTATTCATTGTATCTATAACTCATTGATCTTAACCATGCTAACCTCGCGGCTACCAACTTATACTATACGATTGCCTATTATGTATATATAAAGGTGCAAGCCCTGTGTGTCCGTTGTACCGATGTATATCATATGTTCATTGATATATATAAAATAGACATTTAAATTGTAACCAATTGATAGCCGAGAGGTTTCGTCGATATGTTGATATTTATCAATAAAAAAAATAAGCATCTGATGTTGAAACGATTGGTAATCAAAATTGATTGATGAAGTTTTTTCAGTATAAAAAATTATACAATTTAAGAAAAGAATAATTATATAACATTGTGTGCTTTTGAAATGAAGGAATTCTAAATATATAAGATTTAACTGTACCTGAAGCAGAAGACATCTCCATTTTTGAATAATTTATCCTTTTTTGTTATCACAAAACTATCTCATTGCTCTTTCATTCCAATAATTGAAATGACCATTTAAATTATTTACATCCCTTTTACTAACCATGTTAACATTTAAAGTGAGCTAATATCAAAATTTAATTATTACAATGAAAGGCTAATTTTGTTATGTCACTCGAAGGTGTGAATATGTTCTGTAATATAGATACAATGAATAAGCGTTGATTCTTGAAAAAGAAACCATGAGCCCGGAGGGCGAATGGTTTGTTTTTCATGAATCAATGCTTATTCATTGTATCTATAACTTAAACTATTGTGTTAATGTCTTTACAAAATTAGAGCCTTTTCTTAATTAGAAGGTATTGTAAGTGAGTTTAAATAACCATGGTATCATGTTCAACGATGCATTACTAAATATAAGATCACAACTAATTGGTAAGAAAAATACAAATATAACACAACACGTCTGCCTTTAAATTATCAGGCATCTGAATATTATCTGTGTTTACAAGGTAAGACATATTCGAACTTATTTCTGACAAAATTGAGAATGGAAATGGGGAATGTGTCAAAGAGACAACAACCTGACCAAAGAGCATATATAAAGTATATATAATAAGTATGCTACCGAAATTTCTAGCAAGAAGCCTAATTCTAGGCACATCACGATTTACTCGCATAGGAACTTGCGAATAAACATTTGTAAAATTATGTAGTAGAACAGATGAAATCTTACTATATTTATAAAACAAAAATGGACAAATTGAATGTAATCATTTTCGTTTCAAATATGTGAAATAGCCAATAATAATTTAAAAAAAAACCGGTAAAACTCGCTATTATTACAAAAATATCCACAATTACATACAAAATAAGAAAAAAACAGAAAAACTAAAGAATAGGGACAACAAAGAGAATACAGGGATTCGAACCTAAACCGACAAGTCCCTACCTTTAACTTAACTCTTTAACTCTTTAACTCATTGATCTTAACCATGCTAACCTCGCGGCTACCAACTTATACTATACGATTGCCTATTATGTATATATAAAGGTGCAAGCCCTGTGTGTCCGTTGTACCGATGTATATCATATGTTCATTGATATATATAAAATAGACATTTAAATTGTAACCAATTGATAGCCGAGAGGTTTCGTCGATATGTTGATGTCAGTCACTCATAACAGATTTCAAGGACGGGTTCGATTCCCAGTGAAGGCATATAAAAATTACAAAAATTAAAGGTAAGTTTTTAAATTAATTCTATTAGTGAACAGAAATCAGTAAATTAGCTAATTCAAACTTAATGAAATTAGACACACAAAGGAAACAATTGAATATAATTTGGTGAATCCATTTCACGACAGATTTAGAAAGCGTTGATTCTAGAAAAAGAATCCTCGATAAATGAATAGGCTGACGTCACGACAATGGTTTAACAATTGGTCAGACAATACTTGGTCATGTTTTATGAACATTTATGTATATATATGCATTATCTTGTTCTTTTTTAGCAATGTTAAGCTGTCTTTTATACACCTCGTTGAAAGCGAGAAAAACAAAATACGACTGGCAAACGACAGGTGCAAAGTAATGAACAAACACGCACCCTTGCCAATAGTGGACATACATGCAGGTCACAGTAAACGTTTACAATTCTCTAGTCCTTAAAAAGAATAAAATACATGTATATACTTTACCATTTGCCGACGCCATGTGTTCAGTTTTAGTAAGTTCTGAAAGTAAACAGATATTTTACATCATGGTACATTGATAGGACTTTGATATGTATGCATTTCTACTTCTGGACAACTATATGCCTAAAATAATTTTTTTTTTTATTTCTTTTTTGACAACAAAAATATATACTGTATTCTTCAGATTGCCTGCAACAATTATACTTTTCTGTCCAAGCGCCTGTGAAATGCTGTACGAGTGTCCTAGAAAATACTCAGAATATAATTAAACTAGATGTGCCGGAACGACAGGAATGGCCCCACTCGCAAAAAAAGTTTAAAGCCATTTTTATGACTCGAAATAAGAGAATGAAAGTCTGTATAGCTGTTATTTTCACGAACATTTCAAAGTCCAAAGCCCGTAATTTCGGCAAAAATCAGCGGAGCGACACCAAACGTAGACTCGATCTGTAACTGATCATAGTTGACTCACATACTAAAAATCAGCTCAATATGTGAAAGCGTTCAGGACACATCGTAAGGTGGTCCACGGAACCCTGTGTCTCGCCTGCGATTGTTGTTGTCGGTGTAAAAGGGTAATGTTGACTTAAAAAGTGAGTCCATTTATCAGCAAAATACAGATTTTTTTACAAACTTTTTCTTTAGATGCTATGTCATGGTCGTGATGATTAGCTTCTGTCCAAGTTACATAACAATCCATGAAGTTTTACAACTATATCATGTCAAAAAATTTAACTCAGAACGTCTGTAAATGTTAACTGTGAAAAACTAAGTCCATCTATCAGAAAAAAAAATGAAATAAAAAAAAATATATTTTCAAAAGTTTGCTTTAGACATTTTAGTTTCATAAAATTCTATGAAGGTTTGACAAAGTAATTGATGTGTAACAAACCTTAACTCTAGACTGTGACTTCTTGTTAACTGTAAAAAATTAAGTTATTGATGTCTAAAAAACTTTTTTTACCACAGACTGAACCTAAATGTTGACGCCGCTGACGCCGACGCTGATGACCGAATCTAGGATCGTTATGTCTCGCCATTGCGACATAAATGTCGCAAGCTCGACAAAAAAGTCCGTATGAATTGATAAATAAAATATGCTTATAACAAATGGAATTTAAAAAAATCATACTATATTTTAGTATGTTAATTTGCGGTACATGATATGTCTTTTTCCTTTCATTTCTTGATCAAAATCACATTAACTCCCTGGTTCGCAGAGCAAAAAGAAAATTGGTCGCATGAGTCATTAAACTTTTGAACGAGTTTGGATAACTCACAATTTTTAGCTTATGATTAGAAATACTGTTACCAGTATATCTGATGTAAAACTAATAATAACATATTTTAATTGTGTCAGAATACAAAATTGTGGATCGTGAGTTCAATATTTGTCATATATAAACAAGAACATCAGGTGTGATTGCCAATGAGACAACTCCCTACTAGAGACAAAATAGCAAGCTATAAACGGCCCAAACTGACAAATGTAAAACAATTCAAAAGAGAAAACGGAGGCCTGATTTATGAACAAAACAATAAACGAAAAACAAATATGATATATCACAACAAACGACAACCACTGAATTACAGACTCCTGACTTGGGACAGGCACATATATAATTGTCTTAATCAAATAGATCTCAGCAACTTTTAAAGCAAATTTTGATTAGTGGTGGTTTTTTTTTCTTACACATTGGTGTCAAAATAAAGAAGTAGGGATAATTATTCATGAATCAATTTCAAATAAAAAGTATTTTTGAAATATACAATTACGCAACTCCGTGTGCATATTTGAGAATGTATTTCTAATCGTATACCCAATTCAAAATGCTTAAGAATAAATTACTCAAATCTGCATTTTGAAACATTTTGACTTTTTGTGCGTACAAAATTATAAATTCTTCTACATTAAATCCGTGCACTGTACATAAAGTCAAATAGTAAATAATCATGTCACTTTCACATCTCAGCTTATTAATAAGGTCTTCTCTGAAAATTTGAAGGTTCCTACTTGGTATTGGCTACCTAAACAAACATCAACGTTATACTCTTTTACATCAACTATCGTTTCATTTCGGCTTCTAGTAAGTCTTCTACAACTAATATGTCTGTGCTGTTAACTAGTTTCCTTACTTCTATCAAAGAACCTCAAATTAATTTTTGTAGTAAAGCATATGAAAAAAAAGGAATATTTTATTTTTGGAGAGTTAAAAACTCTTTGGACCTTTGGAAATATTACCGTAACGTACTATTAATGGTATGCTCAATTCGGTTGATTGTTTCGACTTCTCGACTCTGCACACTACATTTCCACACAATCTTACCAAAACAAAAGTGCTCTTGTCTAATTCAAAGGTTCTTTGAAAAATCTAATTGTAGATTTATTTGCTAAAACTCCTATAAAGCCTCTTCCGTATTAAAAAAGGGAAATATGCTTATCTATTATACTTTCTAGAACTGTGATAATATGCTTAATGCTTTAGATATTCTCCTTGACAATTAACATCTATGAACTTAACAAAATAAATGTATCGATAGGTTGTTGGCGAACCTAATGGCACCAATTGCACCCCATTGATAGCAGACTTGTTCCTTGATGATAATTTTTGCTTCAAATAATCAAGAATTTTTCAATTGTACCGATGAAAGTGTCCACGGGAACTTACTTTATATCAATCTAATACAGCAATAATTGTCCTTTTCTAGATTTTGATATTTTAGTTTCACACGGGGAAGTGTATATTAGAGATTACTCTAAAGAGACGATTTTTCGTTCCTTTTAATCAATGTTTGAAGGGGTGTTCCTTTGGCCCCTTCTTATGGTATATATGCTTCACATCTTGTTCGCTATGCCCGTGTCTGCAGTCGCATTTTTTATTTCAATAAACGTAATTTATGTATAACTGGTAAATTATTAAGTCGGGGATTTCATTACCATAAAATTAATTAAAACTTTAAATACATTGTTTCTTAGATACAAAAATTTGGTTAGAAAGTGTGGCTGCATGTATCTGTAGAATTTCGTTTTAAAACATGACAATATGGTTTAAAGAGCCATATAATTTAGATACGATCCATGTAAAATCATTTATCTTTTTGGATAAACTTATGAACCATGATAGGGCGGGCCATATTATCTCCAATCTATACAAATGTATACCAACTATCATTGACCTTATATTAGTGATTTATCTTAAACTGATCTACTCACAAACTTTAACATGTAAACAATGCAAAATTTTCAGTCAAAAGACCATGATGGAGGAGGAGAAGCTAAATAATCGCCATGGAAATGAAATGTGCCAATGCTAGTACATCTATGTACTAAATATCATTGACCTATATATCACTATACTTCGCTTAAACTGACCTAATCACAAACTGATACATGTAAACTTAGGAAGAAGTTTCAACGTCAATAGTCCATGCATAACTGAGGGGGAGGAGCCAAAAAATCTCCATTAAAATGAGATGTGCCAATGCTAATACAACTGCATACATTATACCATTGACCTACCACTAGTGGTTCCCCGTGTAATGACTTCACCAAAAACTTTTACATGTAAACTATGCAAAATATTGAAGTTCCATAGACCATGACTGTTGGGAGCACTCAAATAATCTCCATTGAAATGAGATGTGCCAATGTTAACACAACTGCGTACCAAATACTATTGACATATCATTAGTGGTTCCCCTCAAACTGACCTAATCACAAACTAATACATGTTAAATTGGGAAAAGTTTCAAAGTCAATAAACCATGACTAAGGGGTCGGGCTCAAATAATCTCCATGAAAATGAGATGTGCCAATGCTAACACAACTACATGCATTATACCATTGACATACCGCTAGTAGTTTCCCATATTGAGCTGACCTCATCACAAACTTGAACACGTAAACTATGCAAAATATTCAAAGTCAAAAGACCATGACTAAAGGAGGAGTCAAATAATCTCCATGGCAACGAGATGTGCTAATGCTAACACAACTGCATACCAAATATCATTGACAAACGACAAGTGGCTCCACATAAATTGACCTAATCACAAACTAATACATGTAAAAACAATAATAACTTTTGATCAGTACAATAAGGAAAAATGAAAAACATTATGTTCAGAATGATAATATTAGACTGTCTTTTGGTCATAGCGTTTGTCAAAGTATTGTAAAATTCCTTGAAGTTTGTCAAAGTAAATTGATTTTTAACCAGAAAATATCTAACCACAATCATAAACTCTAAACATAAATTATAACGCAAACGACACCGCGACAACGGAATGTATGATCGCTATGTCTCGCTTCCGTGATGACTTTCGACAAAGGCTCGACAAAAATTACCTTTTACGCTTATAAACAGCTAGTTCTCAATTTTGTTTAAAGGGGAAGAGGGAGCACAGCTTGTGGATGTTTAATGACTATCCTCCTTGACACATTTGGAATTCGGCATGTTGTATTAACTTTATTTTCTGAAATGGGTAGACTGTTATTACTTTGTTTGTGGGTATAAACAGGAAATGCAGAAAAATATACTAAAATACGCAATACCGTTGTCAGTGTGTCATGAAATAGAACTGAGACTACTGTTATAGTAGTCTCAGAATAGAAGTGCCAAATGGAAGGAATATTCTGTAATATTATTTCCACAGAAACGAATGTAACAGTAATTGTTCCTTGCGGAATAAAGGGTATAGAATAAGTGTTCCAAGAGGAAAATATATTATGGCTTTGTTAATAACTTTAGTTTGGCGGAACACATATACTTTGACACTAATGATCACTAATGCCATACAAACATTTGTGAGTTAATGTGTTTTTGGTCACGTTTGGAATATCTTTCAGTATTTTGATTATTCTATAATTTTTGAATTCAATTATTGATCATTATTGCTTTAAAATAAGTTCTCATCCACCTCCCTTATTCTTTAATGGGTTCTCCTTAAAGATTTATGTTTTACCTTTATAGTCATCTACTGTTATAATTATATTAAATTATGTAAAATTTTGTATGAGTCTAGTCAGTGATGTAAACTTTCAAATATTTCGAAAGGAAATATATAAACATTAGGTACTCACCTTTGGAAGTTGTTATATCAGCCGCCTATGGAAGTCTGAGTGCCGAATATCGCGTACAAAGGTTTGCAAGTAATACAATGCTGACACCAGATTTAAATTGTTCAATTTATACGATAATAAAGATACAATATACAACTATTAAAATTCGAGGATCGATTGCCAAACCGTGATCATTCTTTATTGACATAGACAATGTAGATTGTCAGATAATAAGAAATGGGATGATATACTTTGTTGTGATAGCTCGACGTGTGATAAAACAAAATGTCGTAAAGTTCTTTTTTTTGTATTCATATTGAACATTTCTTTGTTGTCAAATAGTCAAAATGATAATGAATATGCAAACTTATATAGTTACATAGATCTAGCGTATTGTGTTGTGCAAATTTGAACAACTGATTTATCATACCGCAATGATGATCTGTTTTGACATATCAAATGTCGCTACGAAGGTTAAAGCATGCATGTAATACAAAATCAAGGTTTTAAACGTCAGTCTTTTTTAAAATTTCTTTTTAGAGTTCACTTTAAAATAAATTAAAGGAGTTACCCGACCCACGTCCTACGTCTGTCGTCCATTACATTTTACAAAATTCTCTTCCTCTTACACTATTTTGCCAATTAGAATCAAACTTGACCAGAATCATCTTTGATGTATTCAGCCTAAAACATTTGTCTCATGATCCAGCTTGCCAACAAACATTGCCTGTCAATGCTTAATATAGATCCTATCATTACGACACAAGTATTGTCTATAATCTTGTAAACCGTTATAGATTGCAGAAAATCTGACAGGGTTGAATTATTTTAAATAAACAGATCCATATACTGTCCTTTGTGACCAAAATAAGACTCTTTTTTAAATTACGATTTTACCAATTGTTGATACGATATTCCAGAGCTTGCATTTTCTATCAGGATTTCCTCGATAAATTTTGGCTGCCTACAAAGATGCTATTAAACCAAGACTGTCAAGGAGTGAAGTTGAAATTATACATTCGAACATTTTACGGACGCCGTAACGAGTTGATTGTACGTTATTCTATATCTGTTTGATATGTTCCAATTGTCGTTAACACTATCCCATTCTCTTTCATTGAATATGACTTACTCAATAAAACTTATCACCGGGTTTGTACTTTAATGAGAAACACGACGGGTACCACATGTGGGGCAGGATCTGCTTACTTTGCCGGAGCACCTGAGATAACCCCCTGTTTTTTGGTGGGGTTCTTGTTGCTGAGTCTTTCGTTTTCTATGTTGTGTTTTGTATACTGTTGTTTATCTTTTGATTGTTTTTCTTTTTTTTTTGCCAAGACATTGTCAGTTTGTTTTCGACTTATGAGTTTGAATATTCCTTTGGTATCTTTCGCGCCTCTTCAATCTTGACAACTGTATTATATATAGAGAATAAGTAAATGGTTAAATAGAACAAGATTTTTTAAAAAAAAGTTAATCAAATAGCAGAAATTGTCAGTCGATTCATGTTGCAGTTAATGGCAAAGTTTTACTAACGTTACTTTAAACATTTTTTATTTCAAAGAATTTGATGGACATGACATATACATATAAATGCAGTAATATATAAATACAAAGGGATTCGGAAACAAGGTTTCCCTTATATATTAATCCGTCTCCCTGTCAAAAGAAAAAGGTAAATAACTGCTTGATAAATATTTTTTTTTTCGTCAGATCTTTCTTTTCTTTATGTATGTACCAGAGGCGTTGTGTGTGTTTCCAGGCTAGGACTTTGTCAAGAATGCTTCACCCAAATCGCGATCCCAACAATAAAAGAAGACGCTATAGGACAAATCGCTTTGAAACTACTAACAATTATTGAACTTGTTTAAACACGAGTAAATTTTCTTCTTGAATGAGAATAATGCTCCCAAACAGAAGTGTTTTATATTGTATTGGAACGGAATTGTTTCTATCGTACGTTTTCGAACAATGGAGTAATTATTACTCTCAAGCAGAAAATGCTTACTGCTCCCGATTCTGTCGCAAGTACAGTTTTTACTTTCTACAAGATTTTTCTTAAATAAATGCTCATTTAGACTACTGCAATCCATCCGAAGTCTGGCATGAAGTATCTGTCCCTTCCTTTCTCCACAAAAATAATAATTTGGTATTAGACTTAAGTTTTGATTTAGGTAACTTTTAAGTTTAAATTTAGAAGGACTTAATCTGATATCTTCCGGAATAGCATTCCAAGATCGAATAACTGATGGAAGGAAATATTTTTGATAAAATGCTGTTCTACAGTTTATATCCTGCGTGTCATTGGTTCGTCTTGTGTCATAGTTATGAATATTAAACAATTTGTTTTTGGATGATAGCTTGGTACCACCAGTAACTATCATAGCCGCTTCAACTTGCATGTTTTCTAGTTTATCACTTAGATAGTCTGGAATATTGTCCCAAATAATATCTTCATATTCAAATAAAGGTCTAATAAAGCTTATATATATAGTTTGTAAATGCTTTCTTTTCAATTTGAATTGTAATGCACAAAATAAGTTCAATCTGGGTGTTATCTTTTCAATTATCTTATTGACATGAGAATGCCACGAACCATCCTCATGAATATGTGAACGTGGAATAGTTCGTTTTGGTTTGTTTGTTGGTATATGGCTATAATAGCTGGAATGAAAAACCAATTCTTTGTAAAATAATAGATCTTTATTAATTGCTGGTCAATGTTCAAGTGCTTACATGATAACAATACATAATAAGTTCATACATATATAATTGAAATAAACAATAATCATTTAAATTGAATGCAGAATAACATAACGATGGAACATATATATTCGCATTATAAAACAATTAAGATAAAATGGGGGAGCTAACTAGCTCAATTAAATTAATGTGCTGATGCCAAATAATGTCAACATGAGTGAGACAAGGGCCTCTTTTTGAATTTTGATAAGTGTTGCCATGGTAACCAAATAATTTACTTTAAAACTAAGTTAAATTAATGAAGTGTAAACAGAACATAATTACTTTAAACATAAGAGTATAAAAACATTATACTTATATACAACAATGGAATCTGAACAATAAAAATGTATATGGCTACAAGGAGAGAATTGCGCTTTATTTTCATTTCTAGTTCTGACTTTAAAACAACCATTTATACATGATTCGAATGCATACTTAAACTGTCTTAATTACTAAATCAATATATACAACTCTGGTTGTTACCTTTTAGTCTTCATGGTGAATAAAATGTACATTCTTAATAATTTTGCATTTGACGCAGTGTTTATTTTATTCTTAAAAGTGGAGATAACTCTCTTAAATACAGCTTAATACCGCTCTGTTTTTCAACATAGAAAATGGAATGAAACGTACCATAACTACTTGCGCTTTATGATCAGATTCAAATTAACTACTAAATAACTCAATAAAATTACAGACGCTAAATAATATTTACACGATAAAGCAAATGACTAAAATAAGTAAGTCTTTTTCTTTCAAATACTTAAACATTATGAAATATCAAAATATGTGACAAAGTCGCGTTATTTAAACATTGCAATTATCTAATTATTAAAAAGAAGGATAAAAATGCTAAATTCAATAATAGGAAACATAAAGACTTTGTCTCTAAAACATGACTATTTACATTAGAAAATTCTGTAATTGTAAAAATACTTTTAACTTCAAATAAGCTGTTACGACTGCAACTATACCCTTTTTAGTTTATAATATCTTAACATCTAGAGAATTATCATTTAAAATATCAATGCATAAAACATGAAAATATTCATTTAAAAATATCAACTTATAAAACTTAAAGTTACACTCACCTGGAATGAAAAACCAATTCTTTGTAAAATAATAGATCTTTATTAATTGCTGGTCAATGTTCAAGTGACCACAATTTCATAAAATACAAATTTTGTTTCATTCCCAAGTGAGGCCCAATTAGGTAAAATAATTATATACACAAAGGAAAATATCTCATAAACCCTGTCACTGGCCCCATGTCACCTAAGAGCTAAAATCTATGATAGCGTGGTCTTAATCCAGACATGCTAATCCAACATATAGTCAAAGGTTACATAATATCGCTAATAGATAATATAATAAACTCTAATTTATAGCTTTTGTAAATCTTTTGTAGAAAAATGACAATTTATAGCTATTTTAATTCTTTGTCTAATTCTGGTATTTTATATAATCTCTTTAAAAATTAACTTATAAATTCGGGTGACATGACGACAGTGAAATTCTTTTTATTTATAAAATAAATTAAAACTCATTTCTATTAAAACTATAGTAAAAAATCTATAAGAAAAAGTGATGGTGCATTTTTCCCTATCACAAATATCCCCGTCATTAAAGATTCTTTGTCCTCAAAGAACATAAGAAATAAAGTAAAAAAATCCAAATATCTAAAAGTTTCCCTCTGGGATCAAGTCAACATACACTTCTGAAATACTTATTTGCAACAAGTCACATGAATACAATAGGATATTGTGCCCTTTTTCAGCATACATGCATACAATTCAAATATTAATGTTTTATGTCACACAATGTAAAATTTGAATAAAGAGGTATATCTGTGAAAGAATTGTATCGTACCAGTGTTCATATTGAGGCAATTCACATTACTATGGCAATCAATAAACAATCTTGAAAAAATTGTTGTGTACAACTAAAATGTATGATGTAAATGGTGATTTAAAAATGTTTCTCAACATTTTTGCTTTAATTGGATTGACTGTAAACGTGTCAGGTACCTTGATTTGTTGTTTTGTGTGAACATTTACTATGCTTAAGCCTGACATTTCAACATGTAGTTTTGTATAAAAAGTACCAGATATTCTCATGTTTGTTATGTTATTTGGTGTTGCAATATCCCAATCTGATGGACATAATGGTAAATTGACAACTGGTATTGTCAAGCATGTTAAACCATTGCTGATTTCAAGTATGATTTTAGTGTGATGTCTTGTGCATACTTGTTTATATAAATAATGCAATACTCCAACAAATGAGATAATTGTGATTGCTGACAACACTATTGATGGCCACTGATTTAACTGTGGTGATAATAATGAATCAAAATTTTGAGTTGTTGATTGCATGTAATGAAATGTTGGTGGTGTTTGTGGTGTCACAAATGCAGCTGATGATGGAGCTTTTTGTAACAGTATAAGTGCTGTTGTCAATGCACGAACTTTGTTAAATAGTACAATGCAAGCAATCGTCAAAAGTATTGATAACACAAGAGATATTAGCGAGATCATCTCATTTGTGTTTGGCTAAGAATCTTCGATATCAATTTCACCATCAAGTAATGGTTCTGACAATGAGGTAAATATTTTTCTGTCTGCTTTTGCTATTCTTTTCAGGCTTAAGTGTATATTATTGTCTTGTGCAATGACTGAGTTAAATGTATGGTTATAAAAATGAAGGTTGGGAAGTGTAATGTCTGCTGGGTCTGTAAAAGTTGTGTCACCTAATATCGAATTATAAGTTTCTGATGAGAAAAAGTGTTGAATAAGTGCTAAATTTACTGGATGTACTATAGTCATTGTATTTGTATTGTTATCGCACAATCCTATTTTTGCAGGTATAAATAACGAATCTGTTTTTACAGAACAAAGACATGGAACATGTATAATACAAAAGGAACATCCTTTTTCAATTTTATGACCTGATGGACAGTCAAAAGCAAGTGTTTTGGTTTTGTATACAAGTAAACTTGTGTCAGTTATTTCTATGACTGCTGGCTGTATGATATTTGTAAGGAATCGGAAATTGCAATCTGAATGTACGCTTTCTTTGTCATTGAACAGTAGTGCAAAGGAACAACTTGGTGAAACAGATGAAAGTAAAGGAAAAGTTTGTGTGCAGTACAGTGTATCTATTCCTGAACATGTTTTTACAAATTCATCTGATAATTCTGCATACTGTCTGTTATCAGATGTGATTACTAAGTACTGTGGGAGATCTAATAATTGAGTTGTGTGATTGCTGGTTGTATTTATAGGTACAGGGTATGAGTTTATTTTGTATAGAGTGAGTGGATTCACAAATGTAGTAATTGGAAATTTGATGCTAATGAATAAATTTTTGTGATGTCTAGTATATAAAATGTTAGCTTGTGAATAATAATATGATGGGTTCACATTATTTAAGTAAAAACCTTTGAATTTGTCATTTAAGATAGATTGAATATGCTGAATTGTACGTTTGAGATTTTGTGGTGAAATTAAAAATGGTGATAATTTGCCTTTAACTAACTCATGTACAGCTATTCTTCTAGATACTTATTAATTTCAGCTGTTTCATTCATTTGTTTGAGTAAAAATTTTGACAATTTGATGCTTAGTTTCTCAAATTGTGAGATGAATTTTGCAGTTTCTTTAGTGATATTTTGAATACCTTCATAATTGTTTTTTATACCAACTATGATATTATCAAATCTCTTATTTGTTTTTGACATATATGATGATAACAATTTATCGTGATGTGTAATATCTTTTGCAAATTCATTATTTCTTCTGATTAAAATGTTTACATGTTTTGCTAATCTATTTACATCCTCAGTAGTTGCTGTGCCAAATAAAGATTTGGAAATTGAACCAATAAAGTCAAATAGTCCACGCTTTAGTCTAGATTCTGTATTGGATTTGTCTTCAATATCAATATGTGGAATAAGTTTATGAATAACCTCGACTGTGTGATTCACATTTGATGATACTTGAGTTCTAATTGCAGTAAGTTGTGATAAGACTTGGTTTAAAATGTAACAATGTTGATGTGTAATATCACATTGTTCAAAGTGACCATCAGTTTGTTTGCTAGGAAGGGGAATCTTGAAAGTGTGAAGCCAATTTTCACGACCCGAAAGTAAATTTGGTTGTCTCTCAAACACTACTCCATAATTGATACGCTGTATCTGGTGCACCTTGTCAGCTGACACACATATCATTATCCACAACCATATAAAAATCCTGGCAAGACTTATAACTCCTATAGAAAACAAAGAAAAAGGAAATTGATAGAATGTGAAATGTTTGTTGGGTAAGAGGTTGCATGCCTCTTTTAGCACTAAGTAACATGAGCATAAGCTCATAATTCTTAACAAACATTACACAGAAAGCAAAGAAAGAATTTTATAGTAAGAGTGTTCAGTTATGCCAACATCCTCATACAACGTTTCACAGATAGATAGGTGACCAACGTATGAAGTTTTAGATATATATGTAAAATTGTAAAAACCACTACCGTAAAAGTTATATATATATATGTAATAATCTATCTCATGAAAGTCAATTGTAAGAAAAATTTTCAAAATTGCTATACAAAACATGGATTCCTTTGTGGGCGTTTGCGTCTTCTCCCCTGTTGTGTTTTTGTAGCATGGAAATTATTGATAATGTCATCACTTAAATCTTTGGCAAGTTGCCATGTAAGTCCTCTGTAACCTTTCCACTTTATTAAATATTGTTTTTGACCGTCAATTGTCCTTGACCTAATAATTCTTTCTATTGGGTACTCCTGGTCATCATTTTGATCCTTTGGATCTAAATCATTGTCATCATTTTGATCTTTTGGATCTACCTCATTGTCATCGTCATCATCAATAGGTGCTTGTTGTGCCTCCTGTTGAGGTTGTACTTGTGGCTGAACTGGCATTGGTAAATCTGGACGAGGCACATCCGTGGGAGGTGCGTTTAAATTTTGTCTGTGATCAGGTGGGTGGTATAGTTTTAGCCTGTTTGCATTGATCATACTTTTGAGTAATTTATGGTCGCTACATCTGCGCAATTTGTATGTGTAATTCGAACCTTTGTCAACAATGTAGAATGGTCCATCTTGTTTCTTGTAAAGTTTGGAAGAATATCCAACTGGTACTTTTGGAGTAAATACTAAAACTTGGTCGTTTACTTCAAACTTTGGCAATTCTGTACGTTTGTCATAATTTGTTTTCTGCTTTTGTTGAGCATGGTTTAAGTTTTCTGTAGCTATTGCCTTAGCTATTTTCAAGTTGTCCAATATATTATCAATATGTGTTTTCAGGTTTTTGTTAAGATCTTCCCTTGGGATAAGGTTGACATCAAAAGGAAGGTTCATGTCTTTGCCAAAAACAAGATAGAATGGAGAGTACTCTGAAGAAGCAGATGGAGTCATGCGAAAAGCCATTAGAATACCAGGCAGTAGTTCTGGCCAGTTTGATTGTTGTTCATTAATGACAGTTCTAATGCATTGTATGATGGTTTTGTTGGTACGCTCAGCAATTGAATTTGTTTGAGGATGATAAGAGCTTGTGAAGGAATGTTTGACATTAAAAATGTGGTTAACTGCTACAACAAGCTTGCTCATGAATCCTTGACCACGATCTGTACAGATGGAAACTGGGCTTCCAAATCTTGTAAATATCTCCTTGTGTAATACAGAGGCAATTTCTGCTGCACTTTCTGACTTAACTGGAAAACATTCTACCCATTTACTGAAGGAATCTACTATGATTAAGATGAAGCGATGTCCTTCGCTTGTCTCTCTCTTAAAAGGACCAATAAAGTCCATGTGCCATCGAGCAAATGTATCTGTAATTGGCATTGGTGTCATTGGAACTCTTTTGGAATGTGGTGGATATTTTGCTTTTTGACATGGTTCGCAACCTTTAATGTATTCTGTAACTACTTGGTACATGCGTGGAAAATAGTACTTTTCTTGAATAGACTGGTATGTCCGATCAAAACCAAAGTGTCCGTGATCATGGTATGCCTTCATTAGATCATTTCTAAGTGTACGTGGCAATGCAAGTTGTTTAATGAACCTTTTGATTTTTCTTAAACCTTTTTGTCTTGGTTGGTACTGATGATACAGGACATCATCTTGCATGATATATTGGCTTGCCTCTAGGACAACCTTTTGTGCTATTTTCTTGTCATCTGGTAGTGTGTTGTTTTTAACATATTCATATATGAGACTAAAATCTGGACATTCACTCTGAAGTTTGCCTATTTCTATGGGTATGATATCAGATGTTGTTAATTCTGCAACTAAAGGTGATGTGCTTTGAGGCTGATCAGAATAGACAAAAGTAACTTCAAGAAAAGGATTTTCAGATTGGTCAATAGCATGAATTGAAGGTATGACATCTTCAGGTTCAGAAATATCAGATTCTTTTGTGACTGGATATTCACGTCTAGAAAGACAATCAGCAACAACATTTGTTTTACCTTGTCTGTATAAAATTTCCATGTCATAACCTTGTAACAAAACTGACCATCTGGCCAAGCGACCAGTAGATTGTTTGATGCTGTTCAGAAATTTTAGAGCATTGTGATCTGTATACACTTTAAAATGTTTGTATGCTAGGTAAACATGATATGTTTTGACACCTTCCAATATAGCTAGACATTCATGCTCACTAGCTGACCATTTCCTCTCTGCTTCCGTTAAACTTCGACCACCATAAGCTATAACTTTTTCTTGGCCTTCAGAATCTAATTGAGCAAGAAAATAACCAATAGCTGTGCCGCTGGCATCAGTGGTAAGAATAAAGTCTGTCGACATGTCAGGATAAGCAAGAATAGGAGATGAAACCAGAGTCTTTTTGAGTTTATCAAAAGCAACTTGACAATCCTCTGTCCATTCAAAAGGTACATTGTCCTTAGTCAGATTATGCAATGGACCTGCAATGTGGCTATACCCTTGAACAAATTTTCTGTAATAGTTACAGAGACCTAAGAAACTTCTGACCTGTTTTTCAGTTTTAGGCACAGGAAAAGATTCTACAGTTTCAATTTTAGATTTGCCAACTTCAACACCTTTCTTAGAAACTTTATGGCCTAGATAAATGACTTCTTTTCGTGCAAACTGACATTTGCTTGGTTTAAGTGTGAGATTTGCAGCTTTCAATCTGTCAAAAACAAGCTGAAGATGTTTTAAATGTTCTTCAAATGTTCTGCTAAAGACAAGTATGTCATCTACATAGACTAGAGCAATCTGGTAATTGAGACGATGAAGAACCTGAGTCAAAAGATGTTGAAAAGAAGATGGTGCTGCTGATAAACCAAAAGGAAGCCTTTTCCACTGATAAACTCCACTAGGAGTGACAAAAGCAGATTTATGAGCCGTGGCTGGGTCTAACTGACATTGCCAATATCCGGACAAAAGATCTAAAGTTGTGAATATCTGCGCTTGTGAGCGCCCTAAGGAGTCAAGAACATCCTCAATGCGAGGCAAAGGAAAAAACTTGGGACGTGACACCTTATTAAGGGAGCGAAAATCACAACAGAACCTCAGTTCCCCAGATTTCTTTTTGCACATGACTACAGGTGCAGCCCATTCACTGGTGGACCCTTCTATGATACCGTGTTCAAGCATTTTGTCAATTTGTTTGTTCATTTCTTCTAGAACTGGTGGAGATTGTCTGTAAAATCTTTTTCGTATTGGTGGCGCATCACCAGTGTCAATTGTATGTTTGTATAGATTTGTATTTCCTAGTTCACTAAGATCTTTGGCAAAAACTTGTCTATTTTTAGAAAGAAATGCTTGGAGAATAGGTTTTTGAGTTTCAGACAGATCTGAGTCACTGAAATCAAAGTCACACTGATCATCAGATTTAGAATTCTGAGTGTTCTTATCAACTTGAGTGTCTGTTAAAGAAATGATAGATTTAGAGTCAACTGCAGAAACTGAAGCAACAACAAAGTTAGCTGGCAAATGAATAGTTTTTTCTGTAGGATTCATCACTCTCATGAAAGAATTGCCAGTGTCATCTAGTTGAACAATGGACTTTGCCCCAGCTAATGATTGACTTGGTAATGTGTGCAAGGGTTCTAAAAGAACAGTTTGGTTTCTTAAATTGGACACTTTGACTGGAATGTCAACTTGATGTAACCCTTTGATGTGAATGTGTCTCTTTGTTCGAGCTAAACCATTGTTTAACTCTACAGAATGGACAAGTTTTTCATCAGTGTCTGGTTCTGGGATAAACAGAGTGTTAGAGGGACAATCAATGATTGCTCCATTTTCAGTTAGAAAATCGAATCCTAAAATCATACTCTGTTGCATTTTGGAAAAGACATGAAAACGATAGACAAAAGAAATATTTCCTATAGTAAAAGGCAAAAGGATAAGTCCTAAAATGGGATGGTGTTCACCCCCAACACCTACAGCATCTTGAACTCTTGTTCGCTGAATTTGTTTAAGATCAAAGTTTAAAGATTTGAGTAAATTTACTGAGCAGCAGCTAATAGCTGCTCCTGTGTCAACCAAACTTTTTACGTTGTTACCTTTTATTGTAACGTGAACTGTATTGCCATTTAATTTTGACAACTGTGCAATTTCTGGTAATTTTAAATTTTCATTTTTATGTGTTTCTTTTCTGTTTTTGAAATTTCTGTTTTGGTGTTGTCTCTCTTGCCTTTGTTTTGTGTGTCAATAACCTACCCTATAATTAGATTGTTGTCTTGGTTGCCAGTTTTGTGAATTAGATTGTTGTCTTGGTTGCCAGTTTTGTGAATTTGCCTTTCGCTCATCAAATTCTTTCTTATCACATACCTCTTTAAAATGACCAAACTTGTGACAATAAAAACATTCACCATTGTATGCTGGGCATTTTCTCCTATCAAATACATGTGACTTACCACAAAACTTGCATTTGGTCAGTGACTGCTGCCTTGATCCTCTATAGTTTTGACTGTAATTTGGCTTGTTTTGATCATGATGAGGTACACCCACTGCCATCACTTGTTCTTTAAAAACTGATCTTATACCCTCTACTAAAGAAGAACATAAATCATTAATTGAATGTACATTGTTTACACTTTCTACATTTAATTTTTGAACATTTTGTGTAGTTATGTTTGTATTGTTCGTGTTAACGTCACTAGCTTTACATTCTGCTACACTAGTTGCAAGGTAGATTGCTTCTCTCAATTCATTTATTGTTTTGGGATCTTTCCCTACCACAAACGGTTTGATATCTGGGTTAAGCCCATTTTTGCATAAACCCACGATTGTCTGCTCACTAATGTTCTGTGCACCACTTGCTAGGTTTTGTACTCTAGTTAAGTACTGTATCCCGGTCTCATGCGGATGTTGTTTAAGGCGGTACAACTCATTATTTGTGTTATGGTGTTTAAATCTGTCCAGAAAAGCAGCTTTCAAATTTGTCAGATCATCACGTGTTTCTGTAGGTAAGGAATGATACCATGTTGAGGCTTGTCCCTCAACATGAAATGAAAATGCAGCTAAAGCTGCCTCATTCTGATAATTTTGTAGTTTAATGTAATTTTCAAACATTGTCCACCAAATGGCAGGAACCTGGCTTGTTTCATCATGAAAATGAGCTAAATTTATATGTGACATTACTCGTTTTGTATTATTTGTCAAACCTATTGGAATAATATGCACTATCTGTTGTTCAGCTTCTGGTTCTATTTCTATTTCTTCTTCTGCTTGTTCTGTGTCTTGCAAATTTATCTGGTTATTTGCTACTGGTTCCTGTTCAGTTATGTTGACAATCTCTGTTTGATCGTCACCTGGTTGTTGTTCGGTTATTTTTACCAGAATCTCCTCTAGATCTGTGGAGTATATGTCCTCAGCGGCTTGTGCTTTGGCCCTTGTATTATAATTGGACGGTGTTGCCCCTGTCGTTGACTTGGCACCAGCTGTATTCTTGTATGGCATGTAGACAGTAGAGCAAGGTAACAGGAAAGAGTCAGTCCTCTACCAATTTGTGAACGTGATGTAGTTCGTTTTGGTTTGTTTGTTGGTATATGGCTATAATAGCTGGAATGAAAAGCCAATTCTTTGTAAAATAATAGATCTTTGTTCAAGTGCTTACATGATAACAATACATAATAAGTTCATACATATATAATTGAAATAAACAATAATCATTTAAATTGAATGCAGAATAATATAACGATGGAACATATATATTCGCATTATAAAACAATTAAGATAAAATGGGGGAGCTAACTAGCTCAATTAAATTAATGTGCTGATGCCAAATAATGTCAACATGAGTGAGACAAGGGCCTCTTTTTGAATTTTGATAAGTGTTGCCATGGTAACCAAATAATTTACTTTAAAACTAAGTTAAATTAATGAAGTGTAAACAGAACATAATTACTTTAAACATAAGAGTATAAAAACATTATACTTATATACAACAATGGAATCTGAACAATAAAAATGTATATGGCTACAAGGAGAGAATTGCGCTTTATTTTCATTTCTAGTTCTGACTTTAAAACAACCATTTATACATGATTCGAATGCATACTTAAACTGTCTTAATTACTAAATCAATATATACAACTCTGGTTGTTACCTTTTAGTCTTCATGGTGAATAAAATGCACATTCTTAATAATTTTGCATTTGACGCAGTGTTTTTTTATTCTTAAAAGTGGAGATAACTCTGTTAAATACAGCTTAATACCGCTCTGTTTTTCAACATAGAAAATGGAATGAAACGTACCATAACTACTTGCGCTTTATGATCAGATTCAAATTAACTACTAAATAACTCAATAAAATTACAGACGCTAAATAATATTTACACGATAAAGCAAATGACTAAAATAAGTAAGTCTTTTTCTTTCAAATACTTAAACATTATGAAATATCAAAATATGTGACAAAGTCGCGTTATTTAAACATTGCAATTATCTAATTATTAAAAAGAAAGGATAAAAATGCTAAATTCAATAATAGGAAACATAAAGACTTTGTCTCTAAAACATGACTATTTACATTAGAAAATTCTGTAATTGTAAAAATACTTTTAACTTCAAATAAGCTGTTACGACTGCAACTATAGGTGTAATACCACCATTGATTTTCCCCTATTAGTCTTTGTTAAATTTGCACTTTTCAAAAAATTGTGCAGAATTTATCTTTGTTTCAAATAAAGAAATACTTGGCATGAGTAAAGTTTTATCCTGTCCAGTACTATAGAAAACATTTCACATAACATTTCATTGCATATAAGAAAATAACCATCACTGGAAGTTAACCAATCAAATTTTCCCCCTTTTTTAACCTGTGTACAAGCTTTAGTAACCATGTAACCTCAAGTTTCCAAAATATTCTATAGAAACCCCAAATAAAGAAATAATGGTGCTTTGAAATACCCAAGATATATGTTTATGACTCAGAAATGTTTTACTGCAATGAAATGTAGGATCAATTACCTACAACTGTCAAATTCAAGGGAATATTTTTTTTCGACCTATTTTCGTATGCAACCGGATGTGACGTACTATGATTTGGTGGTATTACACCTAAAGAAGACTTTTTTGTTGAATAAACTGAATGTGACTTTTTTCCTTTGTAATACTGGTTATTTCAAGCATTCCTGTCAAGTTTTGTCATAATCAGTTCAATAGTTTGAGAAAAATCTAGTATAATGTAAGACGACATCTACAGCGATTCGAGCAAAATTTCTTCGAAAAATTCAAACCAAGCCGCATCATGATAGAATATAGTGTGGACCAATAAATGATCAAATATTTATCTCATCTGCCTACAAACAGTTGAATATGATACAAAAGATGACTTTAGGATGATAAATACTACTAATGGACCTCTTATTCTTCCTTATAAAGTCTCTTTTGGTCCATTTATACCTCTCATTTCCTCAAAATTTCTACTTTTTAGGCCAATAAATAAAAATTTTGGGGTAACTTTCACTCATTTATGATAGGAATGTTATTATAAATGATTAATTGAAGTATTCAAGCTGCTTGAACTATCCGTATAAAAGTTTACTGTCTCCAAGGAGGTTTCAATAAGTCTTTGCGTAAAACTTAAATTTACGCCGCGTTCCAGAGAGGGACATAAAAAACTTCTCTTTTGGTGAATAATTTGTTGTTACTGCTTTAAAAATAATTTCATTTACTTAAAACTATATATTTATTAAAGTATTTCTTAGGAAAAATTTTCTAGTATAGCAGAATATAAGAAATAAGGAGAAAAAGCTCCCCAAGACTCTAAGTATGGCTTGTTCTGTCAACTAATATTCATGGTAAAGTCCTATTTCAAGGAAATTTTCTCATAAAATGTATTTTGGAGACTCAATCCACTCAGAATATTTCATTATTTGTAATATTTCACTTAAATAGCAAGAAATTTTAACACATGAGAGTACTCACAAGGTCAAAGGTGCATGTACAGCTTCCCATATTAGGTGTAATACCACCATTGATTTTCCCCTATTAGTCTTTGTTAAATTTGCACTTTTCAAAAAATTGTGCAGAATTTATCTTTGTTTCAAATAAAGAAATACTTGGCATGAGTAAAGTTTTATCCTGTCCAGTACTATAGAAAAAATTTCACATAACATTTCATTGCATATAAGAAAATAACCATCACTGGAAGTTAACCAATCAAATTTTCCCCCTTTTTTAACCTGTGTACAAGCTTTAGTAACCATGTAACCTCAAGTTTCCAAAATATTCTATAGAAACCCCAAATAAAGAAATAATGGTGCTTTGAAATACCCAAGTTATATGTTTATGACTCAGAAATGTTTTACTGCAATGAAATGTAGGATCAATTACCTACAACTGTCAAATTCAAGGGAATATTTTTTTTCGACCTATTTTCGTATGCAACCGGATGTGACGTACTATGATTTGGTGGTATTACACCTAAAGAAGACTTTTTTGTTGAATAAACTGAATGTGACTTTTTCCTTTGTAATACTGGTTATTTCAAGCATTCCTGTCAAGTTTTGTCATAATCAGTTCAATAGTTTGAGAAAAATCTAGTATAATGTAAGACGACATCTACAGCGATTCGAGCAAAATTTCTTCGAAAAATTCAAACCAAGCCGCATCATGATAGAATATAGTGTGGACCAATAAATGATCAAATATTTATCTCATCTGCCTACAAACAGTTGAATATGATACAAAAGATGACTTTAGGATGATAAATACTACTAATGGACCTCTTATTCTTCCTTATAAAGTCTCTTTTGGTCCATTTATACCTCTCATTTCCTCAAAATTTCTACTTTTTAGGCCAATAAATAAAAATTTTGGGGTAACTTTCACTCATTTATGATAGGAATGTTATTATAAATGATTAATTGAAGTATTCAAGCTGCTTGAACTATCCGTATAAAAGTTTACTGTCTCCAAGGAGGTTTCAATAAGTCCTTGCGTAAAACTTAAATTTACGCCGCGTTCCAGAGAGGGACATAAAAAACTTCTCTTTTGGTGAATAATTTGTTGTTACTGCTTTAAAAATAATTTCATTTACTTAAAACTATATATTTATTAAAGTATTTCTTAGGAAAAATTTTCTAGTATAGCAGAATATAAGAAATAAGGAGAAAAAGCTCCCCAAGACTCTAAGTATGGCTTGTTCTGTCAACTAATATTCATGGTAAAGTCCTATTTCAAGGAAATTTTCTCATAAAATGTATTTTGGAGACTCAATCCACTCAGAATATTTCATTATTTGTAATATTTCACTTAAATAGCAAGAAATTTTAACACATGAGAGTACTCACAAGGTCAAAGGTGCATGTACAGCTTCCCATATTAGGTGTAATACCACCATTGATTTTCCCCTATTAGTCTTTGTTAAATTTGCACTTTTCAAAAAATTGTGCAGAATTTATCTTTGTTTCAAATAAAGAAATACTTGGCATGAGTAAAGTTTTATCCTGTCCAGTACTATAGAAAAAATTTCACATAACATTTCATTGCATATAAGAAAATAACCATCACTGGAAGTTAACCAATCAAATTTTCCCCCTTTTTTAACCTGTGTACAAGCTTTAGTAACCATGTAACCTCAAGTTTCCAAAATATTCTATAGAAACCCCAAATAAAGAAATAATGGTGCTTTGAAATACCCAAGTTATATGTTTATGACTCAGAAATGTTTTACTGCAATGAAATGTAGGATCAATTACCTACAACTGTCAAATTCAAGGGAATATTTTTTTTCGACCTATTTTCGTATGCAACTGGATGTGACGTACTATGATTTGGTGGTATTACACCTAAAGAAGACTTTTTTGTTGAATAAACTGAATGTGACTTTTTTCCTTTGTAATACTGGTTATTTCAAGCATTCCTGTCAAGTTTTGTCATAATCAGTTCAATAGTTTGAGAAAAATCTAGTATAATGTAAGACGACATCTACAGCGATTCGAGCAAAATTTCTTCGAAAAATTCAAACCAAGCCGCATCATGATAGAATATAGTGTGGACCAATAAATGATCAAATATTTATCTCATCTGCCTACAAACAGTTGAATATGATACAAAAGATGACTTTAGGATGATAAATACTACTAATGGACCTCTTATTCTTCCTTATAAAGTCTCTTTTGGTCCATTTATACCTCTCATTTCCTCAAAATTTCTACTTTTTAGGCCAATAAATAAAAATTTTGGGGTAACTTTCACTCATTTATGATAGGAATGTTATTATAAATGATTAATTGAAGTATTCAAGCTGCTTGAACTATCCGTATAAAAGTTTACTGTCTCCAAGGAGGTTTCAATAAGTCCTTGCGTAAAACTTAAATTTACGCCGCGTTCCAGAGAGGGACATAAAAAACTTCTCTTTTGGTGAATAATTTGTTGTTACTGCTTTAAAAATAATTTCATTTACTTAAAACTATATATTTATTAAAGTATTTCTTAGGAAAAATTTTCCTGTATAGCAGAATATAAGAAATAAGGAGAAAAAGCTCCCCAAGACTCTAAGTATGGCTTGTTCTGTCAACTAATATTCATGGTAAAGTCCTATTTCAAGGAAATTTTCTCATAAAATGTATTTTGGAGACTCAATCCACTCAGAATATTTCATTATTTGTAATATTTCACTTAAATAGCAAGAAATTTTAACACATGAGAGTACTCACAAGGTCAAAGGTGCATGTACAGCTTCCCATATTAGGTGTAATACCACCATTGATTTTCCCCTATTAGTCTTTGTTAAATTTGCACTTTTCAAAAAATTGTGCAGAATTTATCTTTGTTTTAAATAAAGAAATACTTGGCATGAGTAAAGTTTTATCCTGTCCAGTACTATAGAAAAAATTTCACATAACATTTCATTGCATATAAGAAAATAACCATCACTGGAAGTTAACCAATCAAATTTTCCCCCTTTTTTAACCTGTGTACAAGCTTTAGTAACCATGTAACCTCAAGTTTCCAAAATATTCTATAGAAACCCCAAATAAAGAAATAATGGTGCTTTGAAATACCCAAGTTATATGTTTATGACTCAGAAATGTTTTACTGCAATGAAATGTAGGATCAATTACCTACAACTGTCAAATTCAAGGGAATATTTTTTTTCGACCTATTTTCGTATGCAACTGGATGTGACGTACTATGATTTGGTGGTATTACACCTAAAGAAGACTTTTTTGTTGAATAAACTGAATGTGACTTTTTTCCTTTGTAATACTGGTTATTTCAAGCATTCCTGTCAAGTTTTGTCATAATCAGTTCAATAGTTTGAGAAAAATCTAGTATAATGTAAGACGACATCTACAGCGATTCGAGCAAAATTTCTTCGAAAAATTCAAACCAAGCCGCATCATGATAGAATATAGTGTGGACCAATAAATGATCAAATATTTATCTCATCTGCCTACAAACAGTTGAATATGATACAAAAGATGACTTTAGGATGATAAATACTA